AGTTCCTCTCTTTGGTGTTATAATTTTGAATATTATTATTACTTTATGGAGACACAGAAAGATATCTAGGGTTTCGAAGTAAGAACATTCAGAACGATTCCATTTCTCTGTAAAAACCATGTAAAATTATGTATATAGTATTTATACAAGCCTAGAAAGATGTTGGAAAGCACATATACCTAATTGTTAACAGTGAATTTAGGAGAAAGACTGGATACAGGTATTTCTAACTTTTACTACTGTGATAAGAGTAAACAGCTCTCTTGAATAGCAACTCCCTGAAAAATAAAAGACCACCAAAACAATCTGCCAACAAGACAATTTACTTAGAAAATACATAATATCTGGTGAGGACTGCAACAAACCATATGAACCAACATGAAAATGTATCTAAGTATTTTGTGTAGCATTTGAAGGCTTTCATAAACTTTTATCAGTGAATCACCTTTTAAAATGAATCCTTTCTCTGATTTCTAAGAACCTAAATTTAACATGAATGAGTCATCTTCCTCATAGCTCATAACTTGGGGACCTAAACACATGTATTCAGGAGTCCACAGGTGCAAGAACATTTACACCTCCAGGTAGGACCGAAACGTGTTGTCATCCTATTCTCTGGCTACTTGCCGTGAAACAAACAGCAACAGGAACTTGGAAAGGATGAGACTGCTATCGTCCTCTGTGCAAGTAGAAGTGTAGTCTCAGCAACACCTCTCTAACTAATCAATTGCTTATTTAAGTGGGGGTTTCCACATGGCTGGCTTAACAGGGAAACACTACATTTACTAGTGTGGGAATATCTATTTTTACAACAGAGGACTAGAAACTGTCTAGAATAAATGTTCACATGGTGGTTTTAGGAATTACAAAATAGAAAAAAACCAAAAACGACTGATGGCTTTCTGTGAGCTGAGCATGCTCCACCTGTTTCTAATCCTAGTTATCTTCCTGAGAACAAAGAGACCCTGCACCTTGGCTGTGGGCATCTATCAACAGTTAAAGCTATAACAGATATATACATAATGAGCACCTGCTTTGCTTCAAGATGGATAAGATCATATCAACTAAGTTGCTGTGTAAGAACACTTTCTAGGTCAATCTGCCCTTTCAGAAGATTGACCTTCTTTTAGTTGTACAAATAGTTGCTGAATTCTTGTGTGCTCAGTACACTTCTGGGAGTCATTGAAGAAACAAACGTTATAGGTGCAATTTTTGTCTCCTGAGAGCTGACAGTGTTACTGACAACTGTATACACCTACACAGCATCTTTGTCTCTCTGTGACACAGGGCTCAGTGATGTTACCCCCACAGATTTTGCTCACAAGGAAGCTAGTCTGGAAGCTCAGCTATAGAACACCTGGTAATAGAGAGACTGGGGTCCAAATACTACTTGTGATGGTGCCTGAGAATAGACTATTAATCTAGACACCTAAATCTTCAAAAACACTTCACCCATAAAATAGCTGTAGGGGTGAAATGAGGTTATGTCATAATACACTTAGCAAAATATCTGTATGCATGTACAAATACATAATAGTCCACGTGACAGTTTCTAAATTGTTTTAGTATCAGAATTAAATGAGATAATGTGTCTAAGGAGTTCATCTCGACATTCAGGGCATGGCTAGCTACTCAGCAATGACAGTTATTGATTTTGGAATGGTCTTGTACTTTAGCCTGCTGCCTCTACATAGCTCCTTTCCTGAAGCTGAAAGAAAGAACTGAACATCTGTGTACCCTGCCTTTACATGCTAAATCTCAACTTTGTATGTTTCCACTCATAGTCACCCTTTGGGGCAAGTTTCAGTGGTACAGGTATGGAAGGTGAGGCTCAGAGGCAGGCTGTGTTCGTTCCAGGCAGGAGTCTGCAGCACAGGAGTCCCTGGGCAAGTGTTCCACACTCAGGGGCCCAGTGTGCTGACCTTGCCCAAGGACGGAACTTGGAAATCCCCTGTGGGATGCACAAAGGCGCTTTTCCATATAACCTGCTGTGAAGATGGAAGTGATCTACGCCTGTGCTGTCTGAGAAAGGGCCCCGTACCCGAGTGTGGCTCTTGCTATCAGTGCCTGAAATGTGGCCAGTATAACTGAAGAGCTGAATTTTAAATGTATTTAGCATTATTTTTTAAGTTTCTGTTTTTTAAATTTATATTCATTTGCCCCATATTATCTAAGAGTGCATATTTGTGGTACAGATTAATGAGTCTCATTTCTGCTTGTTAACATACTTTAATTACTCTCCCTCCTGAACCTCTTTCCGTCTCCTCTCCCTTAGCTCCACATTTGGTGGGGGTGAGGGCTTGATGTGTTTTGGTCGTATTCTTTTAAATGGTCACATGCAGTTCCCGGCTACCCATTTGGACAAGAAGGAGCTCGATAACATCCTTTGCCACACTCATGGTGTCCTTGCTTCAACACCGCAAATGACAGGCTGCTCACCGCCCCACGGCCCTATCCCATTGCTTTCTACCTCTGTCTGACATTAGAGAACCCATTATGATGTTGAACCACCATCTGTTTCCCCTAACTTTTACTTACTTGGTCCGAATGTTTCCCTGGAGCCACATAAAGTATGCTCAATCAATTTCCCAAAACAGTATGTGCCCTACTCTTTACTATGTGCAAATGTTGACACTTAAGAAGCATTCTAGGCTCGGAGCTTTTATGAGGCTACTGTGGGGATTCAGCACCCTGGGTGATGATGGGATGGTGGTGATAATAATCACTCCCACATGTCAGCCACTTAGTCTACAGGCTTCCCGCTTATCATCTCATGTACTTACCATAGTAACCCAGTGTCCATGGCCAACTTCATGAAAATGAAACTAAGACAGATGGAGGTTAAGGGCTGGACAATAGTCATGCTCCTCTGAAGGTGTGAAGTCAGAATTTGAAATCAGTAGTTTGAACTTGAAGCCTATTTGCATAATTGTTCTCCATTCCGATTGCCAAAGACCAGAGTCAAAGAAAACCCCAAGTGGCATCACATCAGCCAGGGGTTAGGGGTTCAGAGGTTCCACACTCAGTAAGAACTTCAAGAGAGAATCTCATAGACCCAGTCTACCAGACCCTTATGCATCCTGAGGAGCCCTGATATGGCGAGCAAACAGCATGTATCAGATACCCACGGTGATAGGAACAGGAAAACAGGTTCTTGCCTAGGAATTTCAACCCTAGATGCCCGCAGGCCCACAAAAATCACAGAAAGGACCAAAGTGGGTTGGTTATTTAAATATACCATTTTTATTTTCTTCAATTGGTTCTTGCTCATTTTTTCTGGGAATATACAGCCCTTCCAAGCTGCCTTTTGATTCCTCATTTTTCACAGTAGTATCAGTGTAGTCAATGCTCCGATTCCCCTTGCCTGCATCACTAGACGTGACAGAGATACTAAGTAATGGCAGTGTCTGTCACTTGCCCCATTGCCTGGGGCGCTACGGGGAGTAGGGGAGACTAAGGCAAAGTGAAAGGCACATGCTGCGTCTGATGGGGCGGGAACAATTCTGTGCTAGCTCACCCAGCATACATGAGAAGACAGGGAGTCTGCCACCAGAGTATCCATATTTTCAAGGGAAGTATGAAATCTATGTCTTTTATATAAACTACTATACTTTTAAAAGACTGAAAATTGATTCAAATTGATATATCACTCTGTTCTAAAAGTACTATTGAATACCACATTGGATATTGGGATGGTAAAAGGAAATATTGCAAATGAAATATGAAGTTTAGTTTAAAAGTTTTTAAAAAGTCAGATCAGTGATGTATACCTATAATACTAACACTGAGGGAGGCTGAAGTGGGAGGATTGCAAGTTTAAGTCCATCCTGGGCAAATCTCAAATGAGAGCACAGGGAGAGAGTGAGAGAGTAAGAGAATGTGTCAGGGATGTAGCTCAGTGGTAGAGTAGCTCTGGTTTAATACCCAGTGCTATCAAAGCAGGAAAGAAAGAAGGAAGGGAGGGAGGGAATTAGGGAAGGAGAAAGGACCCTATGGCCAAACCTCACAGATCAGTTAGTATATCTGTAGCCCACAGTCTACTCATGTTCTGATCCAGTCCAAATACCACATCTAATGATGAGAAAGCTGGTGCCTGGAGATCAAAAACATTTTGTTAAAGTTGTATGAATCAATTACAAAATTGTGTCTAAATACTCCACTTGTTATTTCTTGGGCCAGGGCTGATTAATTCTAGAGTTGTGACAGAGCATTCTCTCTCTCAGTCCCTGCTAGAATAAAGCACGCCTTCTGGCTTTTCCTGGTGCCCTTCATCACAGTGGGAAGACATCACATGATTGTACTCTCCTGCGACCTCACTGTTGATAGGATGCTGAGGCTACTTCTTCCTTCCCCTCGGACCCCCTCCTCTGCTCTCCATTAAGGGCTGGATTCTTCTCTTCATTGCCTTTACCTGAGTATTTAGAGTTTTCTTCTGTTGTTCCCTCCTTCCTCAAGGCCACTGCGGCGTGAAAAGCCAGATTATGCAGAAAATAGTGGTTATGAATATGAAACAATGTGCCTATCCATAAAACTAGTTCAGAAACTCCTGATCCATTTAAAGCATCAAAATCTTTTGAAACCATCAAATAAGAATGATTACTAGAATGCTCATGGCATGGTGGCCGTAAGCAGTGTTTGTGCAGTGGAGCATGAAATGGTAGGATGAGGGTGCCCTGTGATGTCTAATAAGACATGCGAAGTGTGATTGACAAATGCAGTGAATGTTTAAATTAAAAAAATTATGAAGTAAAAGACACAATGCCATTAACCCCACCAAATACCCTTCCATGCTTCAGACAACTCATCCCATTGTCCTAGCCACTCTCTGAAGCAATTCTCAAAGTTGTCTTGTCTAAATGTATTTAGTTACACTGTCGTGGCTGCCTCCATGTCCTGAGTCAGTTCAAAATGTTTACCTTTCATGGTCATCTTGACTTTGGGGTAGAGCCAGGAGCCGGACATCGCATGGTGCCAGGTCCAGTGAACCGGATGGACGAGAATTCCCTGTGACATTTGTGAGCCCTCCTTTCTATTGGACGGCACTCAGCAGCAGCAGAGGTCACCACGTCTTCATCACACATTACAAAGATACACAGGACAGAAGACTTCTCCAGGACTTCTTCGGAGAGTAGCAGGGATGATGGGATGAATGTGTGTGAAGTGTATTGGTGAGTATTTTGAGGGGGGTTAATGGCAATGGGCCTTTCACTGTAATAAATTTTTCAAAGTTTAAACATTCACTCGAGCTTGCTAAATATATTCAGAGAGAAATCTGGAAGGCTATGTCTGTCCTTCCCTAAGAAGCAGACAAGCAAGCCCATTTCCACAATGCGACTCTTAGATCTCATACCTAAAGAAGGCTAAATGAAAGGAAAGTTATAGACTTCCTGTTAGTCCGAAGATGGAACAAAGTCCACTGGAACTTGGGTGAGCGGCACGTGGGAGGCGAATGAGTGGCAACTCAGAGCCTGGACGAAACCAGAGGAGAAGAGCGACAAGTCTGTGGAGTGGGCGTTTTCCTCTCTGGCAACAATTCACGGACAGAGAATGGAATAACTTCTGTTGTGAATGGGCACAATTTTAGGGGGACAGAGATGCATTTTCCAAGTGTGGCGGTTTACTACTGGGGCAATTTAGCCACGTTGCTTTTGGACTCTGAATTAGATGTGATAAGCACAGAAGACCGAGGGAGACTGAGGGCAGCTATGCACCCTCTGCGTAGCTGGCCTAAGAGACAGAAGGGACTCCAGGTGGCCCTCACTATTCCACTTCCTGGTCTTCGTCAACTTCAGACTTAGGTGATTGTCAGGGTCTCTAGGCCACCACCAGACTCTAGGACTACAGCCTTCCAGAGTTTTCATCTGGCTTTCCTTTGCCATCTCCTGCTGTCAGTGACACCTGTGCCTGCTTTTCTGTGCCATGCCAGCTCCCACTGTCCATTTGGTACCTGTGCTCACAAAGTGGTTGGAGACTTTTCTTAGATCTCTTAGCTGCTCCAGACTCTCACTTCCCCAGCTTCCTCTGTACCTCTGTAATTGTGCGGTCTTCTTCTTCTTCTTCTTCTTTTTTTTTTTTTTCTTTTAATTTAGTACCAGGAATTGAACTCAGAGCCTCTCACTTGCCAGGCAGGCACGACACCACTGAGCTACATCCTCAGCCTTTCAGTCCTGTTCTAACTGAACATCTTACTGCTCAATGCTCTTAGCCTTCCTTCTTCAGTGGGGGAGACCAAATGTGAGGTCCCGAAACAGAAACTCTTACTGAAGACAAATTAAGAGGAAGTAGATGCAGCAGAGCTCCCTGCCCTCCCTCTGTGTACCTGAAAACAGGGCAAAGTTTCACAAAGACAGAAGGTATCTACCCAACTCAGCCACTACAGGAAGAATGGAGGTTAGCGACAGAAGACAGTGCTAAGCTGGAGAGGATACCGGGGGAATCCCTATGGACACTCATACTCAGGATCCTTCACCAGCCATTTCTTCACGGCCTTTCCCCACAATGCCTCTTACAGAGCTCAGAGTCCGGATTTTCCTTTTTGTTTCTTTCAGAATTTACTGTTTCTTGTTGAACGTGTTGTATAAGCTGGAACCCCAACCACCTCTTTGAGAATTACTCATTCTTTGGGTGTCTCCTATGTATGAGAAATCTGCATGTAGAAAAGTTTCTGTTTTCCTCTTGTTATTCTGTCTTTTGTAATGACACCCTCCCCAACCAGGCACCTACAGGTGGGGACTCATCGGAGCAAAACCCCTATGCCAGAGTGAATCTGCTTGATGCACTAAGCAGCTGTCTCACATGAAATTTCCCCATGTTTATCTGATCCCAGTGGATGCCTGGGTTGTTTACTAAAAGCATGGATTATCAGGACCCATCCCAGGCTCGATGGATTGGAAAGTTTAGGACAGGGATGGAGATCCTGCACTTTTAACTGACTCTGGTGACTCTTGTCATTAGATTCCTTTAGCTCCCATTGCTCTTGTGTAGCTGTTCCTCCCTTGGCTTCGCGCTGGACCCACCAGGGCACTGGTGATACCGGTGCCTCCAGAGATTTAAATTGAGTTGCTCTGGTGGGTCAGGAGTTTAATGAGGTCCCGGTATGATGTCCCTGTTCAGCCGAATGTGGGAGGCCGTGCTCTGCTAGAATACAGGTGAGCTACCTATTACAAGAGGACAATTTTCTTCTACTTCACTAAAACAAACCATGCCAGCTCTATGCACTCTGGCATAGGCATTTTCTCAGAATTTCAAAGTCAGTATTTCAACTACAAGAGGTCTTGGGGGTCTTTAAGCCAGCCTCGCATTTCTGCTCTTTGGTTTGAATACTGAGACCAGAGAGGTGGAGTGGCTAGTCCAACATCACACAGCTAGTTATTAGAAGACTCAGCATGGGGCTCTCTCTGACCAAGATAAGCAGGCTTTTATCTTGTCAACATTTAATTCCTTGTGAAGTAAGTGTTCCTATGTGTAATTGGCTGTCTCGAAGATGTATCCTGCTGCTTTTAGTTTTAGAAAGAAATTTATTAGTTTTAGAAAGAAATTTAAACTACATCCAATAAATGAACAGGAAGTACAGTTCTGCACTTGCCTTATAGGAGAAGTTTAGCAAATTTTACATAGTATGAGAAACACCTTGGGCCCTTTAAAAAAATGCCAGATCTTGGAAGGCTAATTCAGGAAATCTGAGAGAGAGAGAGAGAGAGAGAGAGAGAGAGAGAGAGAGAGAGAGAGTGTGTGTGTGTGTGTGTGTGCGCGCGCGCGCGCGCATTGGGGTGGCAGTTGGAATCTGTGATTATAATCTATTCATACAAAGGTATCTCTTCCCCACCCCTCGTAACTCTGCTACCCACAGTCCAGGGACCAAACCTCGAGAGACTTCGTCCTGTCATTTGACCCTCAGTACAGGCATTAGGTATTCAAATAAGAATAGCACCTAGCTCCTCACATGGAGAACATGATACTCAGGATACACTAGCTTTTCCAAAGCTGTGCAGAATGGTAAACTCTCAGCTCTTCTAGGCCAGGGACTTACACCACAGATTCTAATGCTGGCCTCTATTGAACGAAGCCATTTTAATCACTGATTGAGAGTGTGTATTGATTGCTTTACAACTGCAGTCTTGCTATCCATACTTTTGTCCATGCTAGTTTTTCAGTAGATGTTTTAAGGAAATCAGTGTGTGTGTGAGTGTGTGCGTGTGTCTAGACAGATACACTGAGTATCAATTACTTTGCATATGCATGGTTCAGTTTATGTTAGAATCATCAAGTCTAGACCCTGCACAGGCCAGAAAAGTATTGCTAACTAATCCAGTAGACTGAATTCTGAGTTCACAGGGAGTAGTGGGGACTAACTTTACAGCTCATGAGTGCCTAAAAAATACTGTTGTGGGGCCTGGGATTTAGCTCAGGGCTGCCACCACCTGCCTCACAAACACAAGGTCAGGAGTTGGATCCCCTATACCAAAACAAACAAACAAACAAACAACAAACAAAAACAAAGCTATTGTGAAGTATGCTTCACAGCACCTATAATCTCAGCATTTGGGAGGTGAGTCCAGAGGACTGACCATTAAAGTCCAATCTGGGAAAGAAAGAGTGAGACTCTGTCTCAAAAACAAAGAAACAAACAGTTGTTCTTGAGCTCAGCACTATTATGGTCATACGGGAACATGGACCGAGAAGTTCTGATTTTTTGGTCAACCTTTCTTACCCTCTCCCTCATATAGGAAAAGCCAATGATCTGGATTAGGGGAGGAATCTAAGGCCAGAGGCCAGTTCCAACCCCTGACCTGTTTTGGCAAATAGAGGTTTCTGGAACACAGTCACACCCCTTTATTTGCCTATTGCTGTTTTCTCCCTTTGATGGCAGAGTTAACTATTTATGACAGAGACCTATGGCCTCCTAAGTCTAGAATATTTACTATGTGTCCCTTTATAGATAAAGTTCAATGGTCCCTAATAGAAATTTTGTGTATGTGTGTGAAATTTTAAAATGTCAATTCAAAAAAAAAAATTTAAACCCCAAATCTACATAAAGTACTTGTGCAGATGCGATATGTACACACACTGATTCCCAAAGATGAATGCATTTTTTTTCCGCTATTTTATTTTTTACAATTTTATTAGTAAATTTTTGCAGTACTTAATGACTACATTTATCACAGGGAGCTGGTACACGTATATAATATAATTCAATTCTTTTTATTTTCTACCCCTCCCATTTCTCCCTGCTCCTTCCAACTCTTGGTCTCTTTCCAGTTTTCAAAAGCTCTGTTTTCCAATTTTTCCTTCAATTCTTATTTTTTCCATCTCCTTTCCCTCCTCTTTTCCCCTTCCCTTTACGTCTTGCTCCCTTCCCCATTTAAAAAAGATCTTCCCATTTCGTATTATCTACCTTTTACTTTGCTTTTCATTTCTCTTTGGGGTTTCTCATGTAGAAGAAGTCATAATATATTTAAACATGTATGTCTTATTTATTTCACTTAATATTGTTAGCCTCAAAGTACATCCATTTACCTTCAAATGCCTCGTTTATTCTTCTTTATGGCAGAGTAGTATTCTGTTATGTATAAATACCATATTTTATCTGTTGATGGGCCTGTTTCCAATATTTAGCTATTATAAATCTTGTTGTTATAAACATGGGCATGCATATATCAGTGTAATATGATGACTTTAACTATTTGGGGAAAATATCTAGAAGGGGAATAGCTGAATCAAACGGAATTTCTAGTTTTAGCTTTTTGAGGAATCTCCATACAGATTTCCTCAGTGGTTAATCAAGTTTATATTACCACCAACAATGTAGAAATGTTCCTTTTCCCCACAGCCTTGCCAGTATTTTTTATTATTTGATTTTTTTTTTTGATGAGAGCTATTCAGGACTGAATTCACTGCTGAATTTCACAAGAATTTCAGAGAAAAATCCAGCCTCAATACTCCTCAAACTCTTTAATGCAATTGAAAGGGAAGGAGTACTCTCAAAAATCATGTCCCTGATTCCAAAACCAGACAGGGATCCAACCAAAAAGAGTATTATAGGACAATCTCTCTAATGAACATAGATGAAAAAAATCATCAGTAAGATACTGGCAAACAGAATGCAATGAATCATCAAGAAGACCACACCCCATGACCAAGTAAACTTCATCTCAAGGATTCAAGAATA